TCTCTCCCAAGAGACAGGTATCTGCCTTCTGGGAGGCTACATTTTGGGGGATATTTGGTACTGTTAGAGCCTTGGCTGTCTAAGTCCTCCATCTCCTTCCCAGAGCCCTCATAGTCTCTTGTGATCACATGAAGATTGAGGCTTAGAGATCTCTTGGGCTTGACACTGCTTCTTTCTCTTGCCTGCTTCTGGGAAGGATTTGTGTGGGTGTCTTGTGGCTCCTGGTGGAGATGAGCCCTCAGCCTGCCATCTTCCATCCCCTAAAGGTCCCTGTGATCTTGATGCCCATCTCCCCATACCCCCCAATGATGGGAATACCAAGTTAGGTAGATTTATTGAAGGTATTGTCGGAGTGGGGTGGGGGGCTGTTAACAACCTGGTTTGTAATCGTCAATTTCTTCCATATGCGCCTTGAAGGGTTAGTAGAGAACACTAACACCACATCATCATACGTGGCCTGGTTTCTAGGGTCTGTGGTGGCAGAGTTCTTAGGCTGTTCTTTGTCTGATATTGATGACAATGAAGGTTCTTGTCACTACATGTCCATTCCTGGCTCTGAGGTATTATTCTAGAAGGTCCAGGCACTGAGGGTGCTGTATAGTGGCACTAAGAGCACACAATAGCACCGGGTTCTACAGAGACCACCTGGCCTGAGAGCTGCATTCTTCAGAGACCACCTGGCCTGAGAGCTGGTATCTCTAGAGACCATCTGGCCTAAGAGCTGGGTTCTACAGAGACCACCTGGCCTGAGAGCTGGTATCTCCAGAGACCATCTGGCCTAAGAGCTGGGTTCTACAGAGACGACCTGGCCTGAGAGCTGGTACCTCCAGAGACCACCTGGCCTAAGAGCTGGGTTCTGCAGAGACCACCTGACCTGAGGGCTGGTACTTCCAGAGACCACCTGGACTAAGAGCTGGGTTCTGCAGAGACCACCTAGCCTGAGAGCTGGTACCTCCAGAGACCACCTGGCCTAAGAGCTGGTACTTCCAGAGACCACCTAGCCTGAGAGCTGGTATCTCCAGAGACCACCTGGCCTAAGACCTGGGTTCTGCAAAGACTACATGGCCTGAAAGCTGGTACCTCCAGAGACCACGTGGCATGAGAGCTGGTACCTCCAGAGACCACCTGACCTGACAGCTGGTACCTCCAGAGACCACCTGGCCTGAGAGCTGGTACCTCCAGAGACCACCTGGCCTGAGAGCTGGTATCTCCAGAGACCACCTGGCCTGAGAAATGGTACCTCCAGAGACCACCAGGCCTGTCTGCCTTTCCCGCTGTTGTTTGTTTCAGCTCTTAGCTACCCACAGATACTTTCCATGTCTTTTCCCCATCAGTAAGCCTGGCCTGATAACAGCAGACTTGCCCTGGAAGTATTGCAAGGATGAAATGTGATTCTATTTTATGCAGTGGACACCACCAGCCCAAGGGGAGTGCTCTGTAATCCCTGGCTGCTGCTCACCAGGAGCCTGCTCCCTCTAAACTCTATCCTTTTACTCTAGTGTATCCTTTCCTGACCCTTTATGGCCAGGGCTGCTTTCCTTGGTTCTTGGTCATTTTCTGACACTGTTGTGTTGATTAGTCACTACTTTAAATTCTCACAGAGGGACACCTATCTAGTGTCATGCTCTGCCTGAGGATGTGGCTGGAGCATGTGACAAGATCCAGGTGGAAGCTCTGCCCACTTCGAGAAGGAAGAGGGGGCTTCTCCACGGGATAAGGAAGAGTGTGGATGCAGAACCTTGATGAATTGCTGCAGCAGGTGGTCTGTACTCTTCATGGAAGTCCAACTCCTCTCTGCAAGGCACCTTCCCCTCAGTTTTGTGATATTAATTTCTGCTACTGGAGAATCCACAAGGCAGGGACCCCAGGACACGTACAATGTGAGGAAAAAATACAAGGTGTAGAATGTGAGAAAAAAATATAAGGGGTAGAATGTGAGGTCATTTGATGTGTCTGCAGAAAGCAAGATAGTTGAACATCCCTACTGGGCTCTCTGATCTTTGCTCCTATTTCTGTAGCTGGCTTGTCATGTGACTTTGCTTTGGGAGATACGGTCAAATGTCTATTTGCTCTGATAGGGCAAAAGGGACAAGCTAAAGAAATTTCCCACCCAAGTCTGGCGTGGCAAACCAATGAGCTTATTGGTTTTATTGCAGAGCCATGAATGGGTCAGAGGTAGCTGCCTCACGTAAGAGCCCACCCAGCATAGGTAATGATCCCGCCGCTCTCTATACAACTTACAGGCAGCTCCATGAAAAAGTGTCCCCCCTGAAGCAGCTGTTATGACCCTGGGGAGGGACTTGACAACATTGTGTCTCTCTGAGCTTCCCCAGGCAAATGTATTTCATCTATTTAGTGAGTCTTAATGAGTCCCCCTTCTCCTTCCCGGAGAGAATGCTTCTATTTAGAGGAAAGAGCAACCAAAACAGCAATGGCTGGTATCTGGCTCTCCCAGGCATCATTCGCTCCAGCGCCAGTCCCTGCAAAGCAGCCCCCAGGAGTTGACCATAAAGACAACAGCTGTGTCTTAGGACCAAACAGGTCTGGGGCCCAGTCGCGGCACAAGCGCTGCTGACTGGGTGTGCCGTACGTGACCTGTTACTCCTCCCCTCTGTAAGGCGGACTTGGTAATGTCCCTTGGAAGGATTGTACGGATTAAGTGAGATAGTGGCATGGTGTCTTCATCTGGGAGTCTGGCAGGAGCCCTGGTGAGGCTCCCAAAGGTACATATGGTCCATGGTGTGGGGTTATGGGACTCCGCACTGAAGCTTCTCAGAATGCCTTGGGCCTCGAGCTTCCGCATCTCTCTGGGGAAAAGATGGGTCTGTAGCTCCTTTCTCACTCCCTGCCGGGAGGAGTTCAGCATCTGACCCACCCCATCCCCTGAGTATTTGGGGCATTACAGTCACAGGGCTTCTGCTCCGAGCTCTGGCTTCTCCCCGGTGTGCTAGGGAGGCTTCACAAAGCCTAGAGCAGTTCTGCACCCTACCGGGGCCCCTGGTGTGCAAGCCAGCAGTTCTGAGGACGCCCCCTTGCACCTTACTCAAACCAATAATCTCATGTTGATGGACAAAATTAGTCTCTGAATTCTAATGAGACTGCGCACCCAGGAGACAGACAGCCCGTCTGGAATTAAATGAGAGAAACTGCCACTTCCGCGGCTTCTTTCAGAGGCGCATTTGCATTCTGTCAGCTTCCATTACTAGGGGACGGTGGACACCAGGAAGGAAAGAAGCCCTCTGCCAGGCGGGTCAGCACACTGCAAAGCCTGCAGAGGGGTGGACTCTCAATCAGGCCTGCTCTCCTGGTGACTTCTCTCTGCCCCTTCCTCTGTTTCCCTTCTCAGAGGCCACTACCTCTAGAGCCTGTTTGAGGGAGACACAGACAGACAGCCCTTATCTTCTCTCAGAGGCTTATGGCCCAGTCCTGAAGTGATGACAAATCCCTCCCCAAAGCCCCCATAACCTCCATTGTCTGGGTTGCTCTTATACTGATCTGGCCTGGTGTATGGGCCTCAGCCACAGACTTATCTTCCCTTTGTACATCACACACACACACACACACACACACACACACACACACACACACACGTACTCAAATATATATATAATTAAATTTATTTTGTATTATGTGTTATGTATATTATATTTATTAATACTTATACAATAACATTTTTAAAAAATGAGTCTTGGCTCGGCATGGTGATGAACACATAATCACAGCACTTCCTAGGAAGGCAAAAGTGGAAGAGTCTGAGGCCAGCATGAGCTCTATAGGGAGACTTTGGGTTATATGTAAATGACCTAAAGACACGCCCACTTATCTGCTCTCTGCTGCTGGGACAGGGATTTTCTGTTTTTGGAAGACCCTTTTACGCCTCTAGTTTAGAGAGTCTAGATCTTCCCCTGGGCTTAACCAAAAGTCTCATGAAAGACAGCCAGCCACAGAAAATATCTGCAAACCCTGAGAGTCCTCAGGGCTTCTCATGACCTGAGCAGCTATAAGGGGCCTTGTTTGTTTGTTCCTTTGTTTTAGATGGTTGGAACAGGCTGTAGTTCCCTAGCATCCACCATGAGTTGATCAGAGCCTTTCTGTCCAGTGTGCCAACTTTGGGGACCTGAACAAAGTTCTCTCTCACAGCCTGTTGAAGATGCTGCAGAGTCCTCATGGCCAGTGTCCCTCTTCTGTTTCTGGCTAGCAGAGTGGGCTTTGAACTCCTGGAAGGAGCTGGCTGGCACATGGGGAGATGAAGGGACAGAATTCAGCAAGTGAGTGAGGTCAGGTCAGGGCCTGTTATGCCCAGTGGAGAGAGTGTGGGCCATGCTGTATGAGGTTCAGGACAGAGACATCCGCATCAGACGCGGGAGCTGAGTGCATTTCAAATTATTTCACTGAACACCCGAATCACTGTTTGCCCCAGCGACCTCTCCCTTCAAGTCTCACGTCAGAAGTATAATACAGGCAGATCATTAAGTCAGCCACCAGAGCTAGCAGCTGACATTGGCACTAATTGTAATTAAAAATTAGCATAGAAATGTGCTTTTAGGAGATTAAAATTATTGGTGGGTTCTGACCCCCGTGCATCACCCTAAGTGATGGACAACAAATGAGCCCCACATTAAATAAAGTCCGTCTAATAGGCTTCTGAGAGAGAAAAGATGCAGATTCATTGATTTTCCTTTCTCCTTGATTTACAAACACATCTCCTGCATAGATAAACAGCACACACCGGGACTGTTGGTACAGCAGACGCCACACTGCCTTTGAGAGGCCATATCTTCATCAATTTCCATACAGGGCCTCGACCTCTAGTAACAGCTTTGTACCGTAAGCACTTTCTCTACTCAGCAAATTGCATTACATATTAGAAATATTATCTCCGTGCAGCAAAGTATCAGTTAATGATTAGCCGAGTGGCTAAAATGCGTGTCAGGAAGAGGATCTGGATTTCACGGAGCAATTACCGCACGGCGCTGTGTTTGCATTCCCGTGCAGGATTTACGTCGTGGGTACCGGAGGCTCCTGTCAGAGGCAAAGTGACACGAAGACAGATGTGTCGTGGGGGCATTCAACACCTCCAGCTGCATCTTCTCCATTGTCTCTGCTAGAGTTCCCAAGCCCTGTTGACAGACAGCCTCCTGGGTAAGTTGGAGGCTTCTGGGCCCTTTAGGTAGATGGAGGCTCTGGTGGCATGTTGGGAAGCAGAATCGTGAGACAGAAGGCTGACAGCCTGCGTGGAGTGGAGATAAAACAGGCCTCATGCTCATGTAGTATATAGAGATGAGAGAAATGCAAGAGACCACTGGGGTCAGACAAATAAGGAGTAGGAATGGACTAGGCATCATGAAGAAATGCAAAGCCAAGGATGCAACAGGCACCATGGAGGGGGGGGGGATGGCTTCGCTGCTGCCACCAGGCCCTCTCTGAAAGGACAGCCCATGTCAATGTCCCTAAGGAGATCCTGGGGCAGTGATATGTAAAGGGTGATTCCAGACAGACTCCTGGCCATGGAACTTTGGGGATGACAGGATGGTCAACTAGGCTGGAGGAGAGAGGATGAAGGGAGAGAGAGTGATGGCAGGCTGGGAAAAGGTGCATCAAACCACTCTGTAGGGATGCTGGGACTCTGTTAAGTGAAGTCACACTGCAGAATCCTAGGTCAGAGAGGCCAGGTCAGACCCTGCTTTCCAAGGTTTCTGGCTTCTACATAGACCTTAACAGAAACTTGAGATAGATACTGGGGCAATCTGGAGGAGGGGACTTAGAGAGGAACTAGATTCTGCACATCTACCGAGGATTGCTTAAGCGTCGGGGCTTGGGTAGACAAATGGGGAAAGGGAGAATTCAGGAAATCTCTAAGCCCAGGTTACGGAGGGGCAGCTGGTGGAAGGTGTGGACGTGGGCAGGCCTTGTTGGGGGCGGCAGTCATGATGATAGCCCAGATGCCTCTAAACTGTCCCATCCCTCCAAGTGGAGCCGAGGGAAGGCATTGATTTGTCCACTTGTGGACCACTACGTACTGATGGTTTTCATCCATTTTTCCTCCTCATCAAAGATGCTGCTAGCTAACCAGACCAGGCAGGAAAAAAGTTTGTTGATTTTAATATTTCAGGCCAACATCAGGCTTTATGTATGTGTTTCAGGAGATGGTCTGTTTCCTGTCATCCCTGGCCAGCCTCCTAGAGTCCCCAAAGACCATGTGGTTTGATATTTGGCTTTTCTTCTGTAGTAGACATAGTTTTGGTGCCCAGGGCTCCTGTAGAAGTGCACACTCCTGAGCCAGGCCACAGATTCCCACAGCTTTGGCCTAGCAGTGACCTTCTTCTGACTCCCCAGCAACCTGGTCCCTGTGAGGTCTTCAGCCTCAGCATTGGTGGACAAGATGCCTTCCCTACTTTCCTGTCCTAGGTACTTCCTCTAAGACAGGACCATCTGTCTTGCTCAGGGTCACTGCACTCTCACAGGGCCCCATTTCCTCTACAACCTTTGTCCAGAGTCACTTAGTACCAGAGTTGGTCCAGGCTAGCAGGCATCAGCTGCCCATCTGTTCTCCAGTGCTGCTGGGCCAGTGAGTACTACTCAGTAGGCTGGGTCCAGGCAGCTGCCTGGGGCTGGGGAGCAGACTTCAGGATCACTAAGGTCCATGGGACTCAGTTTTGTCTGGGCTTGGGAATCAGTGGGCAAAACAGGGTGGAGGGGGCTCTTAGGATTATTTCTTGCAGTGAGGTGAGTTAGCATGCCTCTGCACCTGTGGCTGCTGCCTGGAGAATGCTAGGTTTGGGCTCAGAGCTAAACGCCTAGAGATTAATGGACAACGCAATCATATTCCTGAGAATTGGGTCCTGAAGTCACAGAAAGGGATGATGATGGGGTCACAGGAGGAAGGTGCTTGCCGGCAGTTTTATTAAGCTTCTATGACCTCCACGCCCCCTCCCCAGGCCCCTCTGCCTTGGGCAGCCAGAATCGGCTGGTTTGGGTGGGGCATCTCAGACAGAGATCCCAGGCAGACCAGAGGTTCAGGCTCCTTGTTTTTCAACCTGCTCTCTTAGGCTGTTTGAAGAATATCCACTGTTCCTTTTTGGTGTCAGAATGAATTATTTAATGGGGAGTGAAAACCTGCCCTCAGAGTGCCTTTCAGAACACGGAGGAATTAGGATCTTAGATTTGTTTTTCTTAATATCTCTCTTTGTTTTTCCCGGAGGTGCCCTGAGAGAGCCAGATCTTGGCTCTGTGCAGCTTAAGAAAAGGCAATCTGGGCTCCGTCTTCACTTCCTCCTGCCCTTCCCACAAGCCACATAGCTCCCAGGAGTCAATTTAACTCAGCACACTTTGGCGTTGTTCAGCCTGTGGCGATCCATCTGGCACCTGCCCTCAGGCTGACTTTGGAGACCCCATAGTTCATCCCATTCCCACACCCACCCTTCTGCTCCATCAGGCCTCCTCTCTTCCACAGACCTCAAGGCTTGAAAGTGAACACCGGGAGGGGTAGACGCCTGTTCTCCACGCTTGTCCTTTGCCTGGGCTGGCACTGCCTCCAACTTGGTGCTGCCCCCGCTGCTCTGCAGACAGGACACCAACAACCTCCTCACTTCACTTCACACTGAGCTGTTCTGCCCCAGGAAATGCAGTGAGGGCTAGAAACTGGCACCCCATTACCAACACATCCCAGCTCTACAGAGTGAGGGCAGAGGGTTTGGGCAGTCTCCAGATCTCCGGGGCATGGGTGATCTAAGGAGAAAGAGTGAGTCAAGCTAGAACCCAGGGCTCCATTGGAAACGTTAAGTCATGTGACCATCACCTTACAGAAGTGGCCCCCAATATGTGTGCAATCTTGCCCAAGTGTGGGTCTCTCTGGGCCTTTAGGGCACCCAGGCCTACTTTCTAAGATGGAGAGGGAGGGCTAGTGTGGAGGAGAAGATCCATAGCCCAGCCAGGCTTCTGGGCTCCATACAAGCTGCTCATCTTCTACTTACTCTACTATTTGCTTTATTCTCAGCCCTTGGATTTCTCTGGACACAGCCCTGGATGTCTAGGGATGCTGTTTGATTCTCTCAGGCTGAAGTGAGTGAAGACATTTGACAAGGGAATTCAAGTGTGCTGGATCCCAGGACTCTGAGTGTGATGGTAAGTGCAAGAACAGAGTCCATGCTGAGAGCTCCCCTGAGTGTGTGTGTGTGTGTGTGTGTGTGTGTGTGTGTGTGTGTGTGTCTGTCTGTCTGTCTGTCTGTCTGTGGTGGTTTGAATAATATTGCCCTTAGGGAGTGGCACTCTTAGGAGGTATGATCTTGTTGGAGTAGGTGTGACTTTGTTGAAGGAGGTATATCACTGGAGGCAGGCTTTGAAGTCTTGGAAGCTTAAGCCAGGCTTAGTGGCTCACAGCCTCTTCCTGCTGCCTGTGGATCCAGATGTAGAACTCTCAGCTACTTCTCCAGCACCATGTCTGCCTGCATGCCACCATACTTCCCACTATGACAATAACAGACTAAACCTCTGAACTGTAAGCCAGCCCCAATTAAATGTTTTCCTTTATAAGAGTTGCTATGGTCATGGTGTCTCTTCACAACAATGAAACCCTAATTAAGACAGTGTCCATATATGTCTCTGTGTTAATTTATATGTAAATATGTATGTGGTATATGTATGTACATATGTGTGTCTGTGTGTATGTGGTGTATGCCATGCATGTGTGCATGCCTCTGGAGGACAAAAGAGAGCATTGGACACCCTAAAGCCAGAGTTACATGAAGTTGTAAGCTGCCCAATGTGGGTGCTGGGAACTGAACTCAGTTCTTCTATAAGAGCATCAAGCACGTCCTAAGGCTGGGTGCTCCTCATCCACCGGTACTCAAAATTCATGGGTGGAGTGAGTGAGGGATCACATGAGTTGTATCTCTCCCACACACACTCCTTTCATTGAGGGAGACCTCCCCACGGCTCCCGAGAGCCAGCCTTCCCACAGGTAATGGCACCTGTGCTCTGGCTCTGCTTCTCAGCTTGACTCCACCTCCATTTACTCGCCACTATTCCTGCTTCAGAACCACAGCCTCAAGCCCCTGTTCCTTTTTCACTGACAAGTCTTCGTACCGAATGGAGAGGTCCCATCGTCTAGTCCTTATTTGTTTGTCTTATCTAATACAGTACAGTGGGTTTCACTGGGACATCTTCATGCATGTGCTTAACATGCTTTAATCCCATCTAAGCCATTTCCACCCTTTCTTGCCTTTCCTCCCCCTGACCCCTTCCTCTCTAAAGGCTCCTTCTTCTGTCGCATAGCCTGCACATAAGAGAGCATGGATATTCCTCTCTCTGGGTCTGAGGTATTTCGCTTAATATGATTTCTAATTCTACCCAGGTTTCTCAAAATGGCACTCTATTTTGTTCTTCTTTTATGGCCTAATAAACCCTGCTGTGTTGATATACCACACCCTTTGGTGCATTTTGCTGCGGGGGCGGGGGTGTCTTCTTTTAAACTTTTTATAAGGCTACACCATTAGTAGTTTAATCTGTCTTAGTGTCCTTTTGTGGTCTATTGCTTCCCATGTTCCCTGCCCTTTGCTCTTACCCATCCATCTTATCAACACCCTCTGTATTAGTTACTTCCTGACGCCGTAATAAAATGCCAGAGCCAAAAGGTGGCCTGTGGAAGAAAGGATTCATTTGGGCTTAGGATCCCTGAGGGATGGGAGTCCACTGTAGAAGGGAGCATGGAAGCAAAGCATAGGCATGGCAACCTAAGCAGGAAGCTGGGATCTCCTGTCTTCTACCACAAGCATGAAGCAGAGAAAGCAAGCCAGAAATGGAGCAAGACTATGAACTCTCAAAGACTGCCCAGATGACATAGTTCCTCCAGCGAGGCCATACCTCCCAATCCTGCCCAAACAGCATCTTCAGATGGGCACCAAGTGTTTAGATGCCTGAGCCCACGGGGGCAGGGGGCATGTTCATACAGACCATCCCACTCTCTGTATTGGAGTCATGTCCTCTTCAGCTAGAGAATTTCTGGCCTTACCTAAGGAACGCTTGACTCCATTTCATTTGATACAATTAAGTGTATGCTAAGGATTAATTATAACTTCACATGAATGGCCTGCCCACTCAGCGTGGCTTTCTTAGTCACTCCTTGCTGCACTTTGGATGGTTATTTTCATCATTTGTCCTCTTTCCTGTTATCTAGTTCACTATCTCATGTTCAATGTTGAGTAACACTGCATCCAGCACTTTGGACCCAGAGGCGCTAACAATGATGAATGCTCTAACACAAATCCCTAAAGAGGCAGGATCCTGGGGCATTTGGTCTCTCCCCTGTACCTATACCTGTGCTGCCCTGCATTTAAATTCTTAGGTTAGATGCTTCAAAAATGATTGTAACTGTGCTGTGCTATTACCATAACTGTCCTAGAAGAGGAAACCTCACTTCTATTTGTCTTCAAGATTACTCCCTCCACCCTCGTCTCCAGTCACCCCCACCCCCACCCCCACCCCCGGTGGACCATGATTTTCCAAATCCAAACTGCGGTGAAGTTACAAAGAATGATTTCTGCCAAGGCAGCTCCTTGACTGTTTCCAGTTCCTCTTGTTCTGACTCTGTGTGGTACCTGTTCTTGGGAGGTAGTACAGGCATGAAGTTCTGTGACCTTCTGGACCCTTCAAGTGCTAGCCCCTGCTCCCTTAGCTCATTGCTTCTCAGTCACATTTTTAGAGTAAATTCTCCTTTTTTTGTCTGTTTGTTTTTCTTCCTCTAGCATTCTTAACATTCCCCCAGATCTCTGGCTGTCAACAGTCCTTATTCTTACACAGCTTAGGGTTGAACTCCACTTTCCACAGCTCCTCGAAGTCCATCGAACCCCTTCAATCTCTAGATTAATATCTGACAATGAGAATTTTTTCTTGTCATTTTCCTTTCATAAACATGTAAAACTTTATCTTTTAGAGATCTTTTAGGATTGCAGAAAATCTCCAAAATGTAGACATTTTGCACACGAACTTTGTCCCTCAGCCCCTTCCCCTCTCTGCTGATATCTGACACTCCAAGAGCCTTACACTAATAGTTCATGGTCATTCCACACCCCTACCAGCAGCATCACAGTGACAGGTCTTCATCACTGTATCTATATTCACACCAGGGCTCACTCCTAGAATGGCGTGTCCTGTGGGTTAGAATGAATGATGTAGCCCATGGTGAATTTATTGACCTATAAATCCTCTATGTGGCACCTGCTCATCTCCTCCTCTTAGTTCTGTAATAACCAGTATTTTGCCTTTTCTAGAGTTGCAATCATATCGCATGTAAGGTCTTTACAATGGCTTCTTTCTTTAATGATATACTGCTAAGGTTTCTCCGCGTGTTTCCGTGTCTCGGTAGCTTTATTTGTCCTACGATGAGTAATATTCCATTTTATGGATATATGAGAGTATTTGTCTCACATCTAATGGTTTAGGGTTGCTTCCAAACTTCAACGAGTAGTTATGAAGCTGCTGTAAACATCTAGGTCCAGATGCTGTAGGGACATGAGTTTTTGTTCATTAGGGTGCCTAGCAAGGGGTACAGTGCTGGATTACACGGTGAGAGTCTTTAATAAAAATCCATGTGGTTGTCCTGTTTCAAATTACCACCAGCAGGGAATGAAATAGTGTTCTGTCAGCATTTTGAATTTTGAGAATTCTCATGGTTGTGCATCTTGTTTTAATCTGTAATTAAACATTTTCACATATGACTCTTTACATCCTATTTGTCTTTCCTTCTCTCTTTGTCTCTCACCTCTCTGCCTCTCTGTCTCTCTCTGTCCCTCTCTTGTCTCTCCCTTCCCCTCTCTTTCTGAAGACCCCCACCTCTCTTTCTCTTCCTCCACCCTCTGTTGCCCCACCCTCCTGAGCCTAAGTGATGCTTTTGTCTCAGGCAGGTGTAGTTGCCCTGCCTGGATTTTGTAGTGTGATGTTTCTATTGGTAATAATCTTATTACATGTTTCCTTACTACTGAGTCTAAGAGGCTTTTGGCCATTTTGGATCAGAGTATTTTATCTAATGTTTCTCCCTTAAACCTTTCTCCTAATCTTCTTAGTCTCTTGATGATGTTTTTCACACAATGGAAGTATTATTTTTGGTGACAGCTTATTATGGATTGCTGTCATGGATTGTGCCTTTCAACACTGCACACAAATGGCAATGTGGTACCCAAGGTCCTCAAAGTTTTCTCCTTGTCCTGTTGAGAGTTCTGTTGTTTAACGTGGGTCTGTGTTATGTCTTGGTCTCATTTGTCAACTCTGTGTCTGGAGTTTACATAAAGTTCTGTTTGTGGATATCCAGTTGTTCCAATGGTAAATAGAGTCTGTGCTTTCTACATGTGCTGGTCTGGGAGAGAGACAGTGGTCCCCCTCCAAGTACCCCACCAGACACTAAGGAGCTGAAGGGCCTAGACACACTTGTTCCCCACACACATCTTTCAGACAGCTCAAGGAGAAGCCTGAAACCTCATTCCTGGTCCCACCTGCTGAGCTTTCCCCTTTTGCCTAGTGCAGCTAACCCCTTCATGGTAAATCCCCTGGGGATCATGGTCATGTCCATTTCATGGAGATGTGGGGATTAGGCAGAAATAACAGAGGTGTGTGACTATTAAAAAGACGGTGATAAAAGGACAGAACTGAAAGTCATAGTCATCTCTGAACTGGATCCCTTTTCCCAACCTAAGCCAATGAGCAAGGAAGTTATTTAACTATGATCAGTGCCAGGCAGCCCCCAGAACACAGAATAAACATGTGCAAGGAAACTAGAAAGATGTGCGAAGTATCCTGGAGTGTGGGCTATGTGCAAGTATGTACACGAAGAGGGAATATAGCCTTCAGCATACTGTCTATATAGGGTGTGAAGCTGGGGTCAGGAGGAAAGTGGGATGGATGACCCAGGGTGGGCAGTGTGTATCCTGGATTGTAGTGACTCCAAGCACCATGGGAGCCTAGTTCCTCAGTGCATGCTCTATGGTTCTGAGGGACCAGGTTTTCCCCTTCTCCTTGCATTCACATCCTTCTTGTTCTGTGCATAGGTGGTATTGGTCTTTTTGATGCTACCAGTCAGTCTCAGTCCTTGGGAGTCCAGTCTGCCCGAAGCAACATCCTGGTTATCTGTCCAA